CAACTGCTCATCACAAAAAGTTATGGGGGGGTATGCAATCTGCTCCTCTTCTCATGAGAACTCCCATTTTGTTCCAACTCAAACGGAATCTTCAGCTGTTCCTTTTCTGGTTTCAACCACTTTTTTTTCAATTCAGAGAACATTCATTTATTGTTGACTTTTTCATATGGGAGTAGAACTACTTATTATAAATAATTTTTTTTGTCGAAATGTCCTCCAGAAGGATAAAATGTTTCACTGATAAAGAAGTGTAGGTGTACCAATAACAGTCAAAATAAACAAAAATTGATAGAAGTGAATTTAAAGGATGTCTAGTGAAATTTCATATCATTTTTTAATCTGGAGGTCATTTTGCCTGAATTTAATTACATAAGTACTTTTTACTTTATCATCCTAGTCATGAATAGAAATTTGTGATTTTTTTATCCTTGATTTAATATCAGACATTTGTATTATATCATGTACCTATCTTGTGTACTCTTTCGAATTTAGTTGCTAAAGAAATAATTTCGAAGATTTTTCATAAGTATAGTCATTTGTGCATTTTTAACATTTTCATCCTCTTATATGTTTGTGCAATTTGGATTTTCTGTTTTTTGTTTGTGCAATTCGGATTTTTATTTTCTTTTTGTGCAATACCAGTATGCTGTGTTTATTTTGTGTTTCTTTGAAACATTCCTTAATATGTTTCGTCCAATCAGCGATTATGTTCTGATTATTTGTTCTATTTTTTTGAAATTCTATTGCATTCCACTGAAGAACATCAAGGATGTTCTCATATTATACCGGGTGATCCCAAAATTTGAACTAGTTATACATCGGTTTGATTATCCTTACCACAAAAATCTTATATGGGACCGTATATTAAATATACAATAATACAATCTCATTTGGGAACTATAATGCTACCTAATAATCCAGCTCCTGATGAGATAGGTACTTTCCATCTAAGAATTTTTGTTGGATCTTCCGGTATTTATTGATGTGATACTCATATAAATACATAAAAAAATGTTGCATGTAACTGAATAATTATTGGTGTGGTTACTTATTTTGCTTCAAAATTTTTTTCTTACTTCCTAGATGATTTCTCAAATCTACTTAAGCAATAAAGTATTATAATTGTATTAAATTTTATTATGTAATAACGAATTCTTCTGGACCCTAATGTTATTTATTTTCCGAATAATTTATATTTATTTTTACAATATATTTGTTTAACAAATAGCAAATAAGTTTGATTTTGATCCCTCAAGCAATCCTCTCGAGATACAGGGTGTTCCTGAAAGGTCTTTACAGAAACTCACCACATCCCATATAGCACCAGTACGTCCCCAAAACGTACTGAGAACGTCCTGCCAAGACGTTTTGTACGTACTTGGGACGTCCAGATTAGGACCGTTGACGTACTATAGGTACGTACTGGGGACGTCAAGATTCCGCGAATTTGTACATCCCCAGTATGTCCATTCAGGACCATGAATACCTGTATCAACGTAGTTGAGATAGTTGAAAAAGAGACCTAGACAGACTAGAAAAGATCTTATTCTGAATAGTAAAATTTAAAAAAATGCGCTCCTACCGGGGATCGATACGATGACCTTTGCTCTACCTATTACTCTATAGAACACTTATTAATGTATCAGTATACAATAAGAGATTATTTGCGAATGTCGATTGACCCTTCACATTGATACACTCATAGAATTAGATGATCACGGCAAAGAATACCTAAATAGATGTTTTGTAATTAGGTACGGCCAGTAAAAAATGAATTGTGAGAATCGTATTATGTTCATGTTTGCAAGGTTCCTACATGATTAAGTAGCAGAGATCGTGGGTAGAAATTATATGCAACGATTTCAACTATCAATTTATTCAATCACGTCCACAAAAAAGTCGATTAAGTCCAGAATGGACGTACTCAGTATATTGGAATCGTACGTACCCAGTACGTCTAGACGTTTTCAAGACGAAAAGGTCCCGGACGTTCAGACCTAAATCGGACCTAAAATGGTCATCCCCAGAACGTCGAGTGCTATATCCCAGTTAACACATAATTATACAGTGTGTCCCACTTATCATGCTCACCATGGGTATCTTTTTAACGGTGAGAGATACGAGGTCGTTTAAATGACATCAAATGTGGAGTTTGTCAAGGCCAACTATAATGTGAAAAAATATTTTGATAGAATTTATTCGTTTTTGTTTTATTCGCAAAAAACAGATTTTGATCATTTTCCTGTCTCCTCCGTAACTTCTTCATTTATGAAAATATTCAAATAGGAATTTCACATTCTCATGGCAGTTTTTCAAAGTGATTTCGAAAAAAATATGAATTTTATACCTACTCTTCTAGAATTTGAGATATCAGCACCAACTTTAGTTCTTCAAATGTAGGTCATAACTCTTCTAGAATTTGAGATATCAGCACCAACTTTAGTTTTTCAAATGTAGGTCATAACTCAATATGACTTAGTTACAAATAACTTTTTTTTCTCTTACAGATGATATGTCGCAGTAATAGTTTTGTGTTGATAACAACGGAGTTATCGTCATTTAAACAAAAACAAAGAATTACTTGGGAGCCGCCATCTTGAATTTATAAATTTTAACAAAAAAATCATGATCTCCGACTTAAAAAACCCCCACTTACCAATTTTAAATGGAATCGGACCAAATCTTGTCCGCCATCTATTTGGGTTCCAAAATTTTTTTCTGAGAGAAGTTCTTCCTATGACGATTTTACACATGTGTCTCAAATTTAAAGGTTCTATTGCAACTTCGAGTTATTGATATTTTTTTAATTTCCACGAAACTGTAAAACTGTCCCAATCTTCGGTTAGAATTTTAGTATTAAAAAATCCATTTCAATGAATTTAGCTCCTAAATGCTTGAGATACATCAACTTTGCATCACATATAACAGTTACAAGCGGGAATATTATTCTCTAAAGAAAACCATATTTCTGTCGATAATTATAGCGATAATTGATAATTGGAAGTTAGTAGTATGATGAAGCTCCTGATATGAAACAGTCTTGTCGAAGTTACTTTTTAATATTACAGAAATTTCGAAATGAATTAAAAATTATCAAGAACTAAATGTTCTAATAGAACGTTCAAATTAAAGACACGTGTGAAATCGGCATACAACTTTTCTTAGCAAAATTTTCTCACGTGTACGTGAGTAGGTAGGTCACTTAATCAACGCTCGTTCGTCTATACAACGGCAAAGCTTTGAAATTCTACGCCAATGGAAGTATTCCCCAGAAATTATAACCTCCAAAAGTTCCAAAAAAATCCAATACCTACCTCGCCTCTCTTTTTCTTCCCTAGGTACGCACGCGCTGTTCTTCGAACAATATTGGAATTTCCTTTCGTGCGCTCTATGAGATAAAAATATGTAGAAATCTTCACAAACGAGAGAATTCCACAAAATAACGGGACAATCACGACATGTTTTCGCTAACACTGAAGCTTCTTCAAGTCAAATATTCATAAAATGAACTAAACTTACATTGAGCAAAGAATCAAATTTACCTGTGGAAAAGGTTATCGTTATCAAATATACTTCAAATAAAAAAAAATCAAGCGGAATATGAAGCTTTTCAACAATTTGGAAATAATTGAGAATTCCCTTGATCAAATCAAAACTCCAACTTCTATATCAACCAAATAATGAACCATTTTAGAGCATATACAGTGTGACTCACTTCTAATGGAAACACCCCTGTATCTTACGTAATCGTAGGGTAAAAGGATCCTGAAATTTGATGGAACGAGAGATATACCAAAAATGCACTCTACGACCAAGTGGGGTCATATTCAGTGATATACGCTGCTCGCCAACAGCCATGGAACCATCCCAATTTCCGTAAAATGATATTAGGAGTCGAAATAGGTCGAAAATCACTTCAGATTCGGAATCAGGACGCCCAATTCACTAACTATTCGTATTTTTTCTGTAAAATTATATTTTGTCGTATTTTTTACGGAAGCACCCCCGTATCTTACGTAATTGACCTTATCTTTGGACTTTCCCTTCCTCCTGCGAACTTCAGAACCCTACCTCAATAATTACGTGAGATACGGGGGTGCTTTCATGAGAAGTGAAAACAAAATTTGATTTTTCTGAACTGAACATTTTCTAGGAAAACTATAATTAGTCAGTGAATTGGGCGACTTGATTCCGAATCCGAAGTGATTTTCAACCTATCTTGACTCCTAATATCATTTTCCGGAAATTGGATTGGTTCCATGGCTGTTGGCGAGCAGTGTATATCACTGAAGATTACCCCACTTGGTCATAGAGTGCATTTTTGGAATATCTCTCGCTCCAGCATATTTCAAGATCCTTACCCAAGGATAACGTAAGATACAGGGGTGTTTCCATTAAAATGTGGGTCACACTGTATATTATATCATTTCATAGTTCTATTCAATTGTATACAGGAGTATATTAGTCAATTTTGACCACCCTGGGTCTGGTGTTCCATGTTGAAATTAGCGAATTTATTATTGTGTAAGGACAGAGGCAATTGAAAAAAAAAACAAATGTTCAATTATTCAATTTTTTTTATTTACCATCAGTATCTCGATGATACAATATTCAACTTTTGGTTAACCAAAATCGACAGTATTTCGTGGCGGACCCGCAAAACTTCAAAACAAAGTCGACCTACAAGATTTCCTTAAAAATCAACCTAAATCATACTTCCTGTGAAGGGGGGGGGGAAGTTCGGCCCAGGCCTAGTCTCATAACGAACGGAAAAAATAAATAAATGTACAACTATATACAAAACTTCTCCGAGCTGTGCTCCTTCAAAGACAGATGGATCGACAGCGAACCGCCAAAAAGTGGTTCCTCCACCCGGAATGGTTCCCAGGAGCAAAACCCGAAGGACACAATTTTGCTAAAGCGTTCCTAGTGACGATGTTGATGGTTCGCGAGCTAAGATAACATCTCCTCTCGGCGGTGAAACGTGTAAATAAGGACTATTACATGATGACGTTCTTGATCTCGTCGTACATGACCAGGACTATGGCACCACCGGTACCACGCAGTACGTTGGAGAAGGCCCCCTTGAAGAAGGCTCCCGCGCCTTCGCTCTTGGCGATGGTGGCCCAGCAATGCGCCGTGCTCTTGTAGATGATTTCGGTCTTCTTGCGGCCGGACTGCATCATCATGCGCCTACGCACCGTGTCGAAGGGATAGGAGATGATGCCGGCAATGGTGGTAACAGTCTGAAAAAGAAGTAAACAAAATTATAGGCTGGATCAGGACAATGAGAGACAAGTATTATTACAACCTTTGATAAGGGACGAATATAACAAGTTGCAAATGACAGTGAGGACAAAGAAGAAGTGTTGGAGGAATACGAGATGATGCCTTAACAGTCGAGACAGTCTGAGAAGGAATCATACAAAATTATAATAGGGGTAATAATAATATCGCTTTTATTGGTACAGGTTATAGCGATACAATACAAAAATGATGAAATAATGACAAAAAAAAACAATATCTATACCCTGCAGGGCATGATCAGCTGTGGATATTGCTACATGTTGCAGCTGACAATAATTGACAACTATAATTACAAACGTTGGTGATAAGAGACAAATACTTCAGGTTGCAACTGACAGTGAGGACAGTCATAAGAAGAAGACAAATCATATTATGCTGGCTGATTCAGCGGTACATTTATTATTACATTTTGGAACTGACAATAAGGGACAACTATTATTAATAACTTTCGATGATGAGGGATAGATATTACAAGTTGCTACTGACAGTAAGGACAAAAAAGAAGCGTCGAAGGTATATGATATGATACCAGCAACAATTGTGCCAATCTGAAAAAGAAGGCAAAACCATAGCTCTGGATCAGTGGTACATTTTTGATTACTACATGTTGAAGCTGACCATTAGGGACAACTATTATTAGAAACTGTGATGATAAATGATAAGGGACAAATATCGCAAGTTGATACTGACAGTGAAAACAAAAAAGAAGCTTCGAAGGAATACGGGATGATGCCATCAACGGTTGTGGCAGTCTTGAGAAGAAGAATGCAAAACTATAGGCTGAATCAGCGGAACATTTTTCATTACTACAAGATGCAGCTGACAATAAGGGACAGCTAATTATTTTGAACTTTGATGATAAGGGACAATGATTATTAGTTGCAAATTACAGTAGACATAAAGGCGTCCAGGAAACACTAGATAATACCAGCAACAGTTGTGACACGAGTGCAACGGATAGAAAAACAATTATTATTTGAAATAACCAAAGAAAGAAAACTTATCCAACGTGGCAATTAAAAATGGTAGATAAGTATGACTGACAATGTGGGACAATTTCAAGTTACAATAGGCAATGAGAGGCAACCATTGCGAGTTACATTAGGCAATAAGAGTCATGTACCACAAATTGCTATAGACAATGAATGAAATTGTATAATATGAATTGCAGCTGACGATAATGAAGAAAAACAAAATGGACAATTATTAGAAGTTGCAAATGACAGTAAGGGCCAATATATGCCCCTTATTTTTTAACATAATCCATTTCTCATTACAAGTTGGAACTGATAATAAGGGAAATACTTCATGCTTGTATAATCAGTTGATATAGTCACATAATTTAAATAGGTACATGTACACTCGTCTTCAGCGAACATGTCGCGGTGATCAAGGTAGCTGACACCGTCCATGTGCGACTTGATCTCTGAAGACAAGTGTATGTACATGCCAGTTGAAACTGACAATAAAGATATCATGCATCTTTGTAAGATTTAAACTAAGGATACTTGCTGATTGTACCGAATAATCAAAATGATAAATAATGGCAGAACAATAAAACATAATTATAAAGATGATGGAAAGCCATAATTTCGAGTGACAACGGAAAATGGAAAGACTCCACCGCCCCGCGTGAGAGTCGAACTCAAAACCTCTCCTCCCCTCACGCGGGTTTTTTTTCATTTCCCGTTGTCACTCGAAATTAGGGCTTTCCATCATCTTCATCATTATAAGTATCTTTTCGATAGAGTAACCGACAAAAATGATCACTCACTTTATGTATAGATTGCTTGCAGACATTTCCATATGTAAGGAAAGAAAATGCCAGAGGAGGAACGGGGAAAAATGAAGACTGTACATATAATACCATCCTACCAGCGATGCTTCATATAGTGTATGATTTCGAGTGATTTTGGGATTTAGAGGGATTCTGCCGCCTGATGTGTGATGAGAACTCGACTTTCCTGTCGATTGATCGACGGATGTCCCGTTAGCTCAATTGGCAGAGCGTTGGGCATGTAACCCAAAGGTTGTGAGTTTGACTCTCACGCGGGGAGGTGGAGTTTTTTCATTTCCCGTTCACTCGAAATTAGGGCTTTCCATCATTTTCATTATTATATGTATCTGCTTTTCGGTCGAGTAACGGTAAAAATTATCACTCACTTCTATGAAAACAATAAATGACTGCAAGATGATACTGATAATCACTATGAACCATTGAAATTCTAAGTGATACAACGATGATATTGCAGATCACATTTCGACCAATATTTGAAACAATCATTTACCTGAGCAATGGCCCACGAGATGAGCAGCGGCGTGTTCTTGGGGTCGGGCAGGATACCCTTGGCGGTGTCGTAGAAGCCGAAGAAGGCGGCTCTGTAAATTATGATGCCCTGGACGGACACGCCGAATCCTCGGTAGAGGCCTCCCAGACCGTCGGCCTTGAAGATCTTGGTGAGACAGTTGCCCAGGCCGCTGAACTCGCGTTCGCCAGCGCCTTTTCCTACATCAGCTGCCAACCTGGAAAAGGGGAAATGAGTTGGATTGATGCACGGCCACTGAACAACTCATAATCTATATAGAGATGTATAGAAATTTAACTGGTGCGCTTGCTCCCTATCGAAGGTCGTTTGCAAGTTTCTCGATGGCGCCTACTCTGATAAACCTTTGATAAACATACTTGACGTGGGTAAATCTTGCTAAGTTCATCCTGGTTACAATCCATATTTACAGGAAACATATTACCGACCGATAAATATTTGGATACGTATATGATTTGGATCAGAGCAGTGAACTGATTCCTGATCAAAGGATCGAAACGTCAATATGTCAAAAATATTCTTGAGCTGAAAAAATGGTTATTTCTGAGATTGGGGTCAAGTGTTCGTTAGGGACGTGTTCCGTAGTTTCTAAATTTTGTGTATAATACCACCATAGAAAAAAGAAAATCTCTGTTCTACAACAGTATTATTTCAGTGATTTGAAATATTAGCGTGAACTGGTGTGAATAAATTCTAAGGTGAGTACCAGTTACCATAGGTTTGTTCGCGTTCGAAAAATAAACAGCCTGAAACCATCAGAAGCATGCGCAGTTCCACGGAACTTGTAAAATTCGTACTGTTCTGTGAAATTGCGCATGCTTCTGATGGTTTCCGACTGTTTATCTTATGAACGCGAACAAGCCTAACATCTGCCTATTATGATTTTAGATATTGGTCTATTTCAATAGTTGCTACATTCTTTGTTCTGGTTCTTCAAAGAGGAAATTCATCAGTTTTCATGCTTTAAATAGGTTCATGTCATGGAAGAAGTGAAGCTTATTGAAATCGGCTACAAAAAAGATTTGTTGAAATGTTGAGCACAGTATTTATTCGACCACAGAACAATGATGGAAATAGATTCATCCCTCACAGAACCAAGGTTTTAAACGATTTTCCGATTATGGCGCTCTATCGCAAATACCTGAACCCCAAGTCCAAAACTCGCTTGCAATTGTTCCATATCGAGAGTTAGTCTGACGAAACAATTGAAGAGTGAGCCCACCAGTTAAATTTCTATACATCTCTATCTATATCTTATGACTAGAACGCGCGGTCCTATATGGTTTCATACCAAATTCCTGAACAAAACATGGTCACAGTAGAGAGCTTAAGCTCTCTACTGTGACATGGTCATTGAAATATGAGTCAAATAATCTCAGACTTGCGTGGCTGCACGGTGACACAGGTAAGGAAAGAAACTACTGAGACGTAGGCAATGAACTCAATACTTGTTGTATTGAGTTCATTGGACGTAGGTCATGCATTTCCATCGGTTTGTTTACAGACAACGAACTGTTGCCAGTTTTATTAGCTGCCACTTGTGACTGCTTGTCATTGAATTTATCTCCATCTATCCACCTTTCTCCGAACTATGACAATTGAATATGTTATAAAATGTGCAAAAATAATATCAAAGATGTCTTATTTTAAATATATTCTATATTTGTGCAGTGAATTTATTTTTCAAAAACTAAGATAAGACATGTAGAGTGCAACAAAATGAGTAGCATACCTATCCACTTATATTCTATAAACTTAATTCTATATAGTCATCTTCTGATTTGTTGTGTTGCAGCTGATGCATGATTTGTTCGTCCGCCATATTGGATACGCATTCTCGTCGTGAGATGTAGGTAAAAATTATGAGTTCTGTGGGCGCGGCACGGATCTGGGGAGATTTCTAGCGGGAAGGGAGTTGGATATTTCTTATGAGCATGAAAAATCAGACGCAGGCATATTTATTTGCTCCAATTCGGAACACCTTCACATTGAATGATTTTGATACATTTTATGCACATAGGTACCACGACTTTCATGTCAGAATTCAAAATACTGTTTCAATCTGGCGATAATGTCTGGTAGTATATACATATAGTTACGTTAGAAAATGACGTATTCATGTGGAAGAAAAAGGTTCGTATAAACTTGTTTCAAAGATATTGAGTGTTGAACCAGATTTTTGTTTTTCGTTTTTTTCGAGATGGCTTTGGCAAACATTAAGTTCTTTGCACAGAATTTCATATCCGGGTTTTGTTTGAGGTAAGAAATCATAACTGCTTATTAATTATTATGTATCTCATAAGCACTTTCCATGCAAAAACCTAATTCCCACATCTTTGTCAAGTAAAAAAAATACACTTCCTCAACAACACTGGACTTGATCGTTTTCTAGATATTCATAATATTCTATATTGATACACGTTACTTTTAGCTCCTAGGGCGCCAAGTGAAGTTGCTGAGAACATTACAATAACTGAGTATGTGGTAGATCTCCTCAAACTATACAACTTTTTCCTATGAAGTGTTTATTGAAAATAGATTTTACTTTTTTCTCAAAATCATCTCAAGAATACGACGTCATCTAAAAATTGTACATGCTGTATAGGTACACTGCAGGAAGTTGAACATTCGTCGAATTGAATTAGTATTTCGAAATTTCGGAAAATTTCAACACAAATCTCGAAATTTCGAGATATGAATCGAAATTTTGTCACAACAGTCGAAATTCCGACATGGAAGTCTAAATTTCCAGAAGAAAATTGAGATTTTGAGATAAACGCCTAAATTCCGACATAAACGTCAGAATTTCTGTGTATTGGAAAAACAGAAACCCGTGTGGCACTTCTAGTTATCTATACTGACTGAAACATATCTGTGATGAAACATGCAATATGTTTTAAGCACTGACATAACTAATATCTAAACCGCTATATGTGATATCCCAGCAACCCGAAAATCTCATCCAAATCGCTCGTGAAACGCTTCTGCTCAGGACGCTGATACCCCCAAACTGTTGTTCATGACATCGAGTCATGTACGCAGACATAAGAAAGAGTAAGATAAAATAAAAATGTCCCAACTTGAGGTTACGTTAGTTTGCCTTTCATTCGCATTCAGTAATGAAATAAATATTAAAAATTAAGTGGAGTACATCTGAGGTTGAATCTCACAGAGAAGGAATAGATGTATATATACAGTGTGCCCAAGATAAGGATAAGGCAGAATGTTGCGCAATTGAGGGGTCAATAAATAGATGTTGAGAAATTCCAAGAATGTTCGTTACTTCCAGATATTCTAAAAAGAACGGAATTTACCGATTTGGTTTCTACTTTTTTTTGGAGTTATTAGAAGAGTTTCGAAAAAACCAAAGGCACTTTCTACCTCTACAAAATGGCATTCACAAAATCTTCGTACAACGTTTTGTTTCGAAGAAAACATCATCAACTTTGTTTTTTTTTTTTATATTGCACTAAAAAAATACCGTAACATAACCTAACCCTGTATGACATAGCATTTTTATTGCTTATTCAAGGCACAATATGTTTTTATACGAATTTGCTAAACAAATATCCATTTTTATGTTGAAAACGGGAGCAGATTCGTTCCCGAAACGTCCAAAGCCGCGGCGGATGGATACTGAAACATAGACAACCGCCGGCGGTTGAAACCAATGAACTCAATGTAAACACCTACATTGAGTTCAATGCGTCATACATAAGGAAGAACAATATCATTTCTGCATGAAAAAGGACACTACTTTCTTCAAGCAAACTAACATAACTCGCATATATAAACCTTTCTTGAAAAAAACAACTAAAAAAAAATTAGGCCTCGCAGGGGTTGAACCCGAGTCACCGCCGTGGTAGTCAGATACACTGACAACTGAGATATCGCTTTGCTCGGAAGTACTCTCTATGAAGAAGGAAGAAATATCGTCGCGGCGGTTGTTTATGTAATCTGGGATACCAACTTCCTAAAAATAATGCCCAGCACATACCTGGTTCTGGCGAAATCGAGAGGATAGACGAAGCAAAGAGACGTGGCCCCGGCAGCACCACCGGACGCCAAGTTACCCAGGAAGTACCGCCAGAACTGCGTCTTCTTGTCGACGCCGCTCAGGAAGATCTGCTTGTACTTGTCCTTGAAGGCGAAGTTGAGGGCCTGCGTGGGAAAGTACCGGATAACGTTGGCGGTATTACCGCGCCAGTACGCCAAGACACCCTGCTCTTTGGGGATGCGGACGAAGCAGTCTACCATACCTAGAATGAGATTTGCATCGTTGAGAGATAGAAAGGCATCGTTGAGAGGGGGAGATTGAGACAGAAATAATATACTCAGTGTGTAGCTGTAGCGATTGACAATAATTGAACAAGAGAATTATTAGAAACACCTTCAAAGACTAGATTTTATAAAAAATCAATTTTGATGAAATGATTATAATTCCCGACCGAGAAAAAACCCCAGATACCCTCGCAGATATCCATAATTTTGAATAGAATTGGATCATATCACAACACTCGTTCACCATATTGGATAGGCCATCTTGAATTTTCCAATTTTGAGGAAAGATTCATAATATCTCCGAGCCCGAAAACCCCCAGAATATTTGAATATAATCGGATCATAATTATTGCAAAACTCGTTCGCCATATTGGAGCCGCCATTTTGAATTTTCCAATTCTGACAGAAGAATCATAATTGATTACCCCAGAAACCACAGATACCAATTTTGAATATAAACTAAGATTGGCGAGGTACGATATTATGAAACCGAGTATGAAACCATAAACCGCACATAAAATCGGCGATGAGAAATTCACCCTCTGCCGGCCATTTCAGAAACTTGAAAATATTTCGAATCAACTTCCCATCGCTGATTTTCTCGATAGTTTTTCACCTAATGTTTATGGTTTCTATTTTTCACCCTTAGGAACAGATATATAAGCAACCATTTCGGATTTGACCACACACTACAATCCAAAATGGCGGAATTCCGGTTTTTCAGCAAATGCTAGCAACTTTGTTTTTCGGGGGTAAATACATAAGGGATGATTTTTTCATCGATAAATACATGTTCAATTATGGAAGTTTTATTGTCATGGCAAACAATCGAGAATCAAGGGAGTGAAAAAATTCGCGAGACCTTTCTCGAGCGATATTTTCTACTTCCTTTGATTCGAGATTTTTTTGCCAGATGACAATGAAATTTGAATGCAATTTGTAATGTATTGTAATGATAAAAAATGTCTCTAATACATTTCAGGGAGATTAATACACAACTACATTGTAATAGTATATTACGTAATATGTACCCACAGGGTATTACAAGTTTTATAACAAAAAAACACGCTTCAATTGCTTCACCTGGTATTCATGGAAAAAGGTTCTAATGCGAATACAGTTTGCATATCATCAATGTTCAGTATGAAATAACCTGTCATTCAAAACTAAAAACGTCCAAATCGAGCAAGTACACTCAGTTCCAAAAAAAGTACCGCACTCGATATTTGACCTATCTTCTTAAAATTTTTATTTTTTTTTATTTCTTGGTAGGTAATGCATTTGTCTTAAAAAAAAATAAAGAGGTAAACATTTTTTCAAAGCCTCCTTGATGGTGGTGGAATAACTCGAACCATGATTTATTCTTAATTTTTGACTCACCCTGTGTGTTAATTGAGTAATGGCATAGAAAGTGCTTGCACCCTATACGAAAGAGGCTTCTTTTGCGAGCATTGTGCTTTTTTATTCATTGATTTATCTCTAAAATTGTCCGAATTACAGCTTTTTTTGCTGAATCCTTGCAGATTTCCAGCTTTCTGAATTTATCGAGAAACAATTTTCTAATGAAATAAACTGATACCAATAATTTTAGAAAAAAATTTAATTAAACACGAAATTATAAATTGGGATGACTGCTTAATACCGTGTATTGCCTCCTCCAGCAATTCTAAGAACTTCTAATCTACGAGGCATACTGGAAATTAAGTTGCTTATCGTTTCCATTGGTATACGATCCCATTCTTCCACTAATGCATCTGCCATTTCAGCGAGACCTTCCGGAGACCTCTCGCGAGAACGTACCCTTCTCCGTAATTCATCCCACAAATGTTCTATAGGATTCATATCGGGGCTTCTAGCAGGCCATTGTAATGTAGTAATACAAGTAGCTTCTAAGAAGTTTCGCACTATTGCTGCGGTGTGTGGTCGGGCATTATCCTGCATCAATATAAAATTATTGCCCACTAACTCTGCATAAGGTAAGACATACTGCTCTAAAATGTCAATGTAAATTTGGGCATTCATCGACTGCCTCACCGGAAAAACATGAAGGGGTGTCTTTCCATTCATTGAAATTCCTCCCCACACCATAACGGACCCACCATTAAAACTTTCGCATTCTGTTATTAAATTTTGATTAAACCGTTCACCAGTTCTTCTCCACACTCTTTTTCTTCCATCCACCATGTTAAGGCAAAACCTTGACTCATCCGTAAACAAGACATTCGACCATTCAGGAATATTCCACTGTCCATAATTTTCAACAAAATTTCTTCTAGCAGCACGATGTTCGGGCAATAATTTGGAACCTTTTGCAGGTATCCTAGCTTTTAAATTAACTTCTCTTAGACGTCTACATACCGTCTGCTTAATTACTGCTACATTACGAATTTGGCGAAGATCTTGCTGAACATTTACCGCAGTATTTGATCGATTCCGTAAAATCCGCAATCTCAAGAAGCGATCATCTCTTGGAGAAGTTTTTCGGGGGCGACCAGAACCGACCCTCCGAGCGGTGCTTCCTGTTTGTTCGTACTCGCGGATTGCTCTACGAGCATTTGCTTCATGAACTCCCACTGCACGAGCGGCGTAACGTTTACTACGCCCATCGTTTACTAACGCAACTAATCTTGCTACTTGTTCAGGATTCATTTGAGGCATCTTGTGTAATTTTAGTCAATAAAACAAGACACTTAATTAATGACACAACGACAAATGGTCAAATATGGAGGCATACAACAAATTAGTTGCTATGGCAACGGCATTTGTTTTTTTAAAGACGTGATCGTAACAGAGTACAACCCAATCAATTTTGAGTACTCTGATCCTTCAATAAATTTAAGCAAAAAAGCTGTAATTCGGAAAATTTTAGAGATAAATCAATGAATAAAAAAACGAAATGCTCGCAAAAGAAGCCTCTTTCGTATAGGGTGTAAGCACTTTCTATGCCATTACTCAATTAACACACAGGGTGAGTCAAAAATTAAGAATAAATCATGGTTCGAGTTATTCCACCACCATCAAGGCTTTGAAAAAAATTCCACCTCTTTATTTTTTTTAAGACAAATGCATTACCTACCAAACAATAAAAAAAAATCGGCCTACTATTTTCAAGAAGATAGGTCAAATATCAAGTGCGTCACTTTTTTTGGAACTGAGTGTAGTTTTGACGAAAATGTTTCCTAAACGTTTGGCAACTTTTTGGTGGTGCGTTAATTTCTTGGAGAAATGTACATAGGTGCTCAAAAAGTGTGAATTTTCAACTTTGCCGTGTATCTGAAGGACTGTGAAAATTCTATTTGCGGCATTATTCGTTTCCCAAAAAAAGTAAGGCATTAATGTGGAACCCGCAACACTCTATCTCCAAAGATTACTGAGATATCGCGCAGAAGCATCGAAAACTGGACACACTGTACAGTTCCTCATGACTCACCCTGTATTCTGTGGTCAGGAATGTCAGGAAGGTCAGAAATGGATATGTTTACAATTTGGCTAACAATAATCAAGAAAATGGATCATTAAGTTGATGAGATACTGACTGTTGTTTCCGAATTTATAGCGATAAATACAATGTTATTGTATGGTATGACACAAATAATTACAACAAATCACTAGAACAGTGTTGCCAACAAGTTAAGAGCAAAATATAGCTACAGCCGTGTCGAGAAATTTGAATGGAACCCTGTAGATATTTTCACCTCGATTTTCATGTCATTCGATGGAGCGAAAAATACCCTATTCAATGACTAATCACAAGTGGGCATTTGTTTTCATTTCAAGAGACATTTTTTTCGGTGAACATTATAGGGATGCCCTTTCGTGCGCACCAAATATGGGTTTAAAGGAAGAAAATCTAACATAATGAAACAATTGAATGACGCCCTGGCCAATGACTTTTCAAGTTATTAATAAAAAAACTTTCTTTTTCAAACTTGAACACCCTCTATATCCCGGAAACGAAGCATTTTCGGACCCATGTTCATATGAACTTTTTTTCATATTTTATTGAGAGGAATCGTCCCTAGGCTCTTGTCACCATAACTCTGAAACACCCTGTATAAAAATGAAAGTTTGTATGTCCTTTATAGAATCGTAAACGGCTTGACCGAATTCATTTGTTGCATTTGTTATTGTCAGGGAAGGTTCTTATGAGAGAAAAAAAAAAAGAAATTCAAGATGGCGGATCCAATATGGCGAACGAGTTTTGTAATTATAATCCGATTCTATTCAAAATTAGTATCTGGGGGTTCTTGGGGTCGGAGATTATGATTCTTTTGTCAAAATTGGAAAATTCGGGATGGCGGATCCAATATGGCGGACGAGTTTTGTAATTATGTTTGGAATTGGAAAATTCAAGATGTATTTATGATACGATTCCATACAACATTGGTATCTCGGTGTTTTTGGGGTCGAAGATTATAATTCTCTACCAACATTTGAAAATTTGAGATGGCGGATACAATATGCGGACAACTTTTGTATTTATGATTCGATTCTGTTCAAAATTGGTATCTGGGGGTTTTCCGGTTCGGAGATAATGATTCTTTCGTCAAATTTTGGAAATTAAAGATGGCAGATCCAATATGGCATGCGAGTTTATTAATTATGATCCGATTATGTGTTACGGAAAAATAGCCAAACTGAAAAGGAGTAGAAAATAAAAAGTAGCTTAGAAAACTGAAGAGATAGGTTACCGAACTGAAAAGAAGTTGAAAATAAATCGTAGTTTGAGAAACTAAGGAAACACGCTTTTATGGTTAGTCAAACTAAACAGAAGTTGAAAATGAAATAATAAAACTTAAAGACCACGGCAAAGCGATTTATTTGCTGCTATTATATTATTCAGGACATACTTCCGTCATGCGATAACGAGTTGAAACAAGTAGCAAATAAAATGAGACTATGTCGTCTTTGCGAATATCCAAACGTGCCGCGATTCAAACTGATCTAAGTTAGTGACAGAGCGTCAATACTTCCCAGA